CCCAAACCCAAAACCCTAAACCCTAAACCGTCGCATGACTGTCGCCAGCCAAAGTGGCGCAGAAAGCATCTTTCTCGTGTCGTGGACATCTGTCAGAGCCTCCGTCCTTGGCGCAAGCCACATATTCTTCGCGGCGTCCGTGATTTTTTCAGGGGGCCTCTGAACAAAAGTCGGGCAAAGGCCACACAAAGATGTGACGACAACCCTCCAAGAACCCTAAATCCTGTTGAAAAAGGGGCCGATTGTGCGAATCAAACAAAGAATGGGAATCTTGAGCAGTTCTCCGCCTTCTGAAGAAGATAGAGATGATATCCGGGCAAATGCTGGAAATTCTTCGGGCTGGGGTTTAGGGTTTCAAGTTTTCAAACTCCAGAAGCCCTTTAAAACCCTACAGTAGAAGCCCGTATGAGCCCCTATAAATCCTATCCACAAGCATACGGTGTACTAGACCCAAGAGTAACCTGGGAATGAACAGGGCGCCCTTTTTAGTTTAAAGGGGGGGCTTACCTGGGAACCTAAGGCCTCAACAAAAGAAAGGGAGGAATATAGGGGCCTTCATAATTTGGAAGAGGGTTCTGGGGGCTTACTGTAGTATGTTCATAAAGCAATTACTAGTAACTATTCCGACGCCTATACTTAGTTGTCCAGTAACCTGGGGGAATTCAAGGTCAACCTTTGGGATTATGAGGGGATTATACTACCCCAAAAAGGTTAAAGGTTACCTACTCTGCTACTAGGAAACACTAAACCCGAAACCCAAACCCAAAACCCTAAACCCTAAACCATTGTGGGCCTACTCTGGGTCCTAGACTTTCAGCCAGGACTCGTGGGAATCGCACATTGACTCTGCTGCCAGGGGTCTGAGTTGGCACCTGCACACAGAAATGGCACCCTAAACCCTCAACCCTCAACCCTAAACCCGAAACCCTAACCCTAAACCCCGTGTTGGCTGAAACACATCTCAGCAAGACCCGCAACCCTAAGCTTGGGATGTTCCCGCTTTACCTAACAGCCCTTAATAGGGATTGTCGTACCCACTAGTAACTAGTATAATTCCTTTCAAGGGCTGTTAGTATCCAGGGGGAACCCCACTAAAGCCTCTGTACCCCTCTATATCTTCAGATCCATGATTTCCGTGCCGCCCGACGTGCCCTCCGCCCTCCCACACAAAATGCGAAGTACGCCCCTCTCGTGGGAACAAAGGAAAACCCTGCTGCATCACGGAGACTACTTGGAGGTTCATGGGTAGGGTACTTAAAAGTAGGGTTATAAGTATGGTAACTATGGTTATATTCTATTCAGGGGACGGATCACCTTACTTAGGGGGCGCATAACCCTACTTCTCTAAGTACCCGTGAACCTTCAAGTAGCCCAATGTTTGAAGATCCCGCTGCCCACGAGAGTTTAACGTCTCCGGCATTCTGCACTGCCAGTTCCCATGTTTTGGCTGCCATCGAATTTTCGAGTTTGGAAAATATAAATGAACATATGGTGGCTTCTCTAGATTAGGGTCCCTTTTGGGGTCCTTATTGTAAGGCGGCCCCTCTTATTTCGGGTACCCCAAAAGGGACCATACTTTTCAGAACTCACCATACAACTAACCATGTAACCAAACAGCGGCTGCACTTGGGGTCTAGGTAGGCGGCCCTTTGGTATGTGGTTTTTAAGCCCGATCTGCCTTCCCACAACCCTAAACTCTGGGTTCCCCAGTAACCTAGGAGGAAAAAGGGCACCCTTTTTGGTTTATAGGGGTTTTTATATGGGACAAGAACCCAATAAAAAGGGAATAAGGGCACTACTGGGCATCCTAGAAACCCCAAACCCCTCCAAACATCGCCGGGGAGGCAATTTAGTGACTCGTCCTGCAGAAGCGGGACGTCCCTGAACACGAGGAACCTTGCCTGGGAGGGGCGGCGGGGGTGGGGGGGGGGGGGTGGGCGGCCAGCTTGCGGGAAAAATCACGCCAGGGTCCTATTTACACCTTAAACCCTAAGCCCCCCCGTGGTTGTTATGTTTGTGGGCATTTTTGGTGCCAACAAAAACCTTGGGACTTATCTTTAGTTTACTCGGGCTTTGCTGGGCCAACACGCGCCCAGAGTGCAGAGTGCGGTCTACCCTAAACCCTAAACCCTAATCCCCACACCCTACACCCTAAAACCCTAAAAACTGAAACTTCTAGACCCTAAACCCTAACCTTCCTGGTTCTTTGGGAATTTTGGGAATTGCGTGGCTTCAGTCGCCCCTGTATTTGTCCCTGACTCCTTAACTCCCTGGCAAGAACTGGCAAGATGCTGACTGAACCTCTCGGCCCTGGGGGTTTAGGGTTTAGGATTTAGGGTTTAGGGTTTAGGGTTTAGGGTTTAGGGTCGGCTATCAAGGCGATTCAGGGTCAGAATCGGGCTGCTACATCCCACCCCTAAGGCAATGCTGTGTCTATCTGCAACTCTTGAAACTCAATCGGCGAAGGCAAGAAAACAACCTCAGACCACAAAGGTCAGCTGGGGATCGTGGCACAAAGGTTGTGCGTTGAGTTGTTCTTTGCCGGAAATTGGGAGCATGTGAGGTCACCCGAATCTGGGTCGGTTCCGCGAAAACACCCGTAGCCACCGCGGTTATTCCATGCTCAGGTTTCACAGCGATGGTTCGGCTACAGACAATGCGAAATATGAACACATCGCCTCGCATGCGGCTGGCGCAATCCCTTCCCCCGAATATTAAACCCCCCTAGTATTATTACAAAACCACAACAACCTGCAAAGGGCGTTTAGTATTGTCGGGGGTCATATCGTCCTTGTGTAGCTTGCTGGCTCAGTCTTCGAGCAGGTTTCAAGCTTTAGGGCTAGTAGGTTCCACAAACCCTAAACCCTAAACCCTAAACCCTAAACCCTAAACCCTAAAAAGGGGCGACTGCCGGACCGGGCCAGGCAGGCTTTTGTTAAATCCATTTCTTGCGTGTTATGGTGAAACGGATGGGATGACTCATCTGCGACTCTAGAACATGAGTCCGCCGTGATCCACACTCAGGTTGTCTATGAGGACCGTGCCGTTTAGAAGAGGCAGCTCGACTGCAGCAAAACTCATGGCGCGAGTCGCCAGCACTGTCACAAGTGCGACGGTGGCAAGCAGGCAGCAGCTCGTGGGCAGGGCAATCTTGCAACGAACCATGAGGTCCGAACACTGTGGGGGCCTGAATAACTAAGATAGGGTTTTGGGGGTTACTATAGAGTTTTTGTAGTATACTGATTAAGGGACCATAAGGGAATACTAGCAGTAATTATTCCGAACCCGATATATGCTACAGATGAACAGGAACTCCAAGCCGGATGCTAAAGGCTTGGATGGCGAGATAGTTAGTTGGAGGGTTAGCACGAATGGGCATACAACCGTTCGGGAAGTCCCTCGGCCACCAGGATTTGAAAACTTGAGCCCTGCTAGCTCTAGCTCTATACTACAAGATGCCGCGCGCGCGCGCGGGCGCGTGCGTTTTGTATTTGCATGGCTTGAGCTACGCATGCAGGCCTGCAGATGTTGGGCGCAGGCCTCCCCTCAGCAGCAATGTGGAGATCATAACCCATCAGGCAGATCCGGAAGGCCCCCAGCAAGCACTTTAGCTCATGGTCTTGCTGTCATGTGCCCGACGCTGGCACGTTGGCCTCAAGGGCTCCGCAAACACCTCCGTAAAATCCAGATCAAGGATCCCAGAGCACGTGCCTCTTAAGCTGGGCCAACGCCCAATTCATTCCATGCACGCCATGCCTGATACCAGGCAACGCAGGCACAATGCCTGGGTCCCGCCAGATTCGGGGACGTGTGCTCCACACAGCTAGCCCCACACCTGGCCAGTGGTGCGCGAGCTGCCAGCACCGTCACAAGTGCGACAGCGGCGTCCAGGCAGCTCGTGGGTAGGGCAATCGTGCAACGAGCGAACCACCGGAAGATGAACACCCGAACTCCAAGCGAGATGCTAACAGCTTGGGGGCACGCGATGGATGGCAATGTTAAACCCCCCTACCCCTAAGTATGATACAGCTAGAAAGGGAGTGCTAAATATAGGGGGCAGAGGGGGTTTACTAGCAGGGGAAAGGGATTTATCTAGTCCCTCGGCTGAACGGCAGACATGGAGGTACAGCCAAAGAAGCTGCACGTCCCAGGCTGCTGACCCCAAAGCCCCGTGTAGACTTCAACCCACGAAAACTCCCACTCTCTGTCGTGTGGGCTTGTCGCTCCCTAGAATACGGAAGTGCGCCAAGCTTAGGGATTTTGGGTTTAGGGTTTAGGGTTAGGCTCTGGGACAGCTGGTTGCTGCAGACAGGGCGGCAGTCTTGGCCCGTGTGAAGGAAGCCAGGCGCGTGATCAGCTCTTCGTAGTGTGCCAGGCCTTAAGGCTCGTGCATTTGTATTTGCATGGCTTGAGCTACGCCTGCAGGCCTGCAGATGTTGGGCGCAGGCCTCCCCTTAGCAGCAATGTGGAGATCATAACCCATCAGGCAGATCCGGAAGGCCCCCAGCAAGCACTTTAGCTCATGGTCTTGCTGTCATGTGCCCGACGCTGGCACGTTGGCCTCAAGGGCTCCGCAAACACCTCCGTAAAATCCAGATCAAGGATCCCAGAGCACGTGCCTCTTAAGCTGGGCCAACGCCCAATTCATTCCATGCACGCCATGCCTGATACCAGGCAACGCAGGCACAATGCCTGGGTCCCGCCAGATTCGGGGACGTGTGCTCCACACAGCTAGCCCCACACCTGGCCAGTGGTGCGCGAGCTGCCAGCACCGTCACAAGTGCGACAGCGGCGTCCAGGCAGCTCGTGGGTAGGGCAATCGTGCAACGAGCGAACCACCGGAAGATGAACACCCGAACTCCAAGCGAGATGCTAACAGCTTGGGGGCACGCGATGGATGGCAATGTTAAACCCCCCTACCCCTAAGTATGATACAGCTAGAAAGGGAGTGCTAAATATAGGGGGCAGAGGGGGTTTACTAGCAGGGGAAAGTGATTTATCTAGTCCCTCGGCTGAACGGCAGACATGGAGGTAAAGCCAAAGAAGCTGCAGGTCCCAGACTGCTGACCCCAAAGCCCCGTGTAGACTTCAACCCACGAAAACTCCCACTCTCTGTCGTGTGGGCTCGTAGGCTCCCCTAGAATACGGAAGTGCAAGCTTTGGGATTTTGGGTTTAGAGTTTAGGGTTAGGCTCTGGGCGAGCAAAGGGGATCACTAACAGGTTGGTTGTTGCAGACAGGGCGGCAGTCTTGGCCCGCGTGAAGGAAGCCAGGCGCGTGATCAGCTCTTCGTAGTGTGCCAGGCCTTAAGGCTTCGGGTTGCGTGCGCGTAGTCTTCCGGAGCCGGAAAACCTTGCAGCTTTGGGCAACTGTCAGGGCTGAGAATTTTGGTACCATGGTGTAGAGGTGACCAGGGGCCTGTTGGCGGGCTCCGAGGGACTAAGGGCCTGTAGTGGTTGTAAGACTTCGCCTTAACGTCGCAGCCCGCCAGTCATGGAGCAGATTCTTGCTGCTCAAGCAATGTGTACCTCGTTTTCAAACACTATGCCATGATGCGCCCAACCGGCCCTAAACCCTAAACCCTAAGCCCCCTGAACCCTAAACCCTAAACCCTAAACCCTAAACCCCTAAACCCCTAAACCCCTAAGCCCCTAAACCCCTAAACCCCTAAACCCCTAAACCCCTAAACCCCCAAACCCCTAAACCCCTAAACCCCTAAGCCCCTAAACCCCTAAACCCCTAAACCCCTACACCCCTAAACCCCTACACCCCTAAACCCCTAAACCCCTAAACCCCTAAACCCCTAAACCCCTAAACCCCCAAACCCCTAAACCCCTAAACCCCTAAACCCCTAAACCCCAAACCCCAAAACCCCAAACGAGGGAAGGCTTCCGTCTGTCCCGAGCCCCTTGAGCCTTACCTTCTCGGGGCCCCCGCACCACTGCATGCAGTAGAAGCAGGCTGCGAAGGCCACGACATCGTCGGGCTTGACCACCTCTCACTCATGGGTTTCCCTACTACCCCCTACGCCCCCCTTATACTACCCTTCCTAGGTTCCACCCCCCCCCCCCCCATAATTGAGGTGTTTGAAGGGGGGAACCAGGGGGGGTAGTTCCGTTCATGGTTGGGATAGGACTAGAAAACCAAGAAAACGATTCCTTGTTGAGTTTAAGTACCCTTAAGAATGTAACATGTTACACCCACTATGACGAAGAACTATCAAGTGAGGTAGCATGGAGAGGGAATGGGTTTCCGAACACAATTTCAGAACCAATCAAGCTAGCTTTTTTGCATGGCCTCTGCCTCCAAGAGCCTAACGAATGCCCCCTTTGAGGGGTTCTGGCAACCGAAATATTTGAGTCTCTGGAAGTATAGAGTAATGACACATATACACCCCAAACCCAAAGCCCTATCGCTCTTTTCCTCGCAGTTGACACTGCCCAGGGAAAGAGTTGGTTGTGAGGGTTCGGGAGTATGGCTTAGTCGCTTAAGGTGCAGCGTTTCGGGTACCTTATCCTAAGCCTTAAGGCCGAAACTCTGAACTCCTACACCCTGAACTCCTACACCCTAGAACCCTGAACCCCGAAACCCTTAAACCCTAAATCCTAAACCCTAAACCCTCACGCCCTGAGACCTGAATCCTCTAGCACTGGAGTCACGGGAGCTTCACCCCAACGGCGCCGCCTTGTCGAGTACGGTGATGACCTTTGACCAGTCCAAGTGGCACCTGAACCAGGGTTTAGGGTTTAGGGTTTAGGGTTTAGGGTTTAGGGCCTCGGGACAGTAGGCTTCCAGCGTTATTGCTCGGCCCAGGGGCCTTTGTAGGAATGATCACGGGGATCGAGCCCTAAACCGTAAACCCTAAACCCTAAACCCTAAACCCTAAACCCTAAACCCTGAGCCTATAAAATTCCTGTGAAGGCCATAAAGAAGCCGGCAAACCCTAACAACAATACACCCTGTCAGGAACTGGCTTAGGGCTCAGGGACTAGGGTTTTCGGGTTTCGGGTTTAGGGTTTGGGGTTTGGGGTTTTCGGTTTGGGGGTTCAGGGTTTAGGGTTCAGGTTTCAGGGTTGAAACCGCAGGTACAGGACCCCCTGTCCCCTTTTGCGAGGAACCCTCGCAAGGGACCTCTTTAGGGGTTCTTTAGCGGCTACTTAGGTATCCGGACCATATTAATAAGGTATACATAGGTGTTGTATAGGGGAATAAGATATAAGGGTCCATTCTAGGGATCCCTCCTTATGCCCCTTAAGTGTATGGGGCTCAGGCTTGGGGGTTTAGGGGTTCTGCGGGTTAGGGTTTAGGGTTTAGGGTTTAGGGTTTAGGGTTTAGGGTTTAGGGTTTAGGGTTTAGGGCTTAGGTCCCCAAACCCAGCAAGCCCTATGCCTTAGCACAGCGTATCTCTTGGCCCCGCACGCGTGGTGCGCTGGCCAGCTGTAGTTGAAGACCTGGGGTGGTCCCGGATATCAAACTAAGGGGTTTAGGGTTGAGGGTTTAGGAGGTTTAGGAGGTTTAGGAGGTTTAGGAGGTTTAGGAGGTTTAGGAGGTCTAGGAGGTCTAGGAGGTCTAGGAGGTCTAGGAGGTTTAGGGTTTTAAGGGCCAAGGCCAAGGGCTTAGGGTGGTTTAGGGCTCTGCGCTCTGCATGCCTGCGGCGGCGGAATACACTTCAGCGCAACCCCTGTACCGCCAAACCCTAAACCCTAAACCCTAAACCCTAAACCCTAAACCCTAAACCCTGAACCCTGAACCCTGAACCCTAAACCCTGAACCCTAAACCCTAACCCTAATAGCCTGTCGACCCGTCGACAGGCTTGCTGACAAGCAAACATCCTAAACCCTGCATGCAAGACCCGAATTCTGAAACGATAAGACCAAAACCAGGATTCCCGCGAGCATGTTCTAATAAAAAATAAAATAAATACATAAATAAATAAATAAAAATATATATATGTATATACACATATATATATATATGTACATATATATATATATGCGCTATGATATTTCTACTAGCTCTGTTTACTCTTAAGGGGCAGCCACAGGATCCGAGCACAGCAGCATCCCAACTCCGCCAGGTGACGTCGAAGCCGGCGTCCGTCGCGCTTGGGGTGAGGCAGGGCACCAAGGCAAAGGAATGCGAGTCCCCGATGAGCCAGATGGCTCCTGAGGCTAGTAGATGAAGGTTTAGGGTTTAGGGTTTAGGGTTTAGGGTTTAGGGTTTAGGGTTCAGGAAAAACCCCAATGGCCTTGGAAGACCATCCGCCATCCCCCAGTCTGCAGAAATGCAGGGCTCTAAGGCCGGGGGGTCCTCTAAAACATGTCTTTACCACTTCCTAGGGTTTAGGGTTTAGGGTTTAGGGTTTAGGGCTTAGGGGATTAGAGTACTATAGGGTATATGACCCCATTCTTGAGGGTTCAGGTGGTCCCCAAGGTCCAAGAACCCACGTCCCAAACCCTCCCGAAGCCCGTAAGGCCCTGCCCCAAAAAAGGAAGGGATGAACATCACGTAGGGTTTAGGGTTTAGGGTTTAGGGTTTAGGGTTTAGGGTTTAGGGTTTAGGGTTTAGGGTTAGGGTTTAGGGTTTAGGGTTTAGGGTTTAGGGTTTAGGGGGTTTAGGGTTTAGGGTTTAGGGTTTAGGGTTTAGGGTTTAGGGTTTAGGGTTTAGGGTTTAGGGTTTAGGGTTTAGGGTTTAGGGTTTAGGGTTTAGGGTTTAGGGTTTAGGGTTTAGGGTTTAGGGTATAATATAAAACAACAACAAAGATCGTGGAAGGCGCAACGCTATCAACAAAACTCAACCCTGAACCCTCAACCCTGACCCCCCGAAACCTGGAATATCAAAAGAACTAAACCATCCCAACCTAGACCCTGAGTCCTTAACCCTAAACCCTAAACCCTAAACCCCAAACCAGCTAGAAGCCTCGACTATCTGTCTGAGACTTCCTGCTGCCTGGCGGCGTCTCGAAGCTTCGTGCGCCGGTGTGAGACACCGGCTGAGGATCTCCTCTCACTTTAGGGTTTAGGGTTTAGGGTTTAGGGTTAGGGTTTAGGGTTTAGGGTTTCAGCCCAGGGTCGTAAGGCCGTGGTTTAGGGGTTATTTTGGGTTTTAAGGTCATGGTTTAGGGCTTCTACATGCTGAGTCCAGCAGGGGACTACTTCCAGGCATAGGTGCAGTATCCTAAACCCTAAACCCTTCCAGGCATAGGTGCAGTATCCTAACTTAAACCCTAAACCCTAAACCCTAAACCCCAAACCCTAAACCCTAAACCCTAAACCCTAAACCCTAAACCTTGTAAACCCTAAACCTTATAAACCCTAAACCCTAAACCCTAAACCCTAAACCCTAATTAACCCTAAACCCTAACCCCATGTTTTCTGCACACCGTGTCGGCCACACGACTATCACCTCAAGATGCATTACTTTCATCACTACTTCTTCGGCCCCCTGGGAATGCGAAACGCAGCGAGGCATCATCAACATCTTCCCTACTTCTGAGGGCGACGCGCAGATGAGCCACAATTGGAGCGCAATAAGTCTTAGACGTACCCATGAACCTCCAAGTAGCTGAGCGAAGGCCCCAGCAATGCTCTGTAACATAGAAGGGTCCCTGCTGTGGAACCTCAGAAATTCTCGGATCTGAATCCTTTTTTTCTCTGGTGACCTTGTCGGTTGGAGAGCTGGTGTGGCGTGCACTACCGGTTTTATCCCAGTCAATACAGGTGGGACTGCAACAGCGAGTGACTCAAGGTGCTCAAAACCTCCAGGAGCAGTGGCGGCTGCTCGACCCTTCAACCCTTTGAAATTCATATAAACTCATCCCTTTTCAAAGCATATAAGGCCAGAGCCCCCCCCCCCCCCAGCTAAAGACGGGGATCCTTTTGTTGAGGGTGGGGGGGGGGGGGTGGGGTAGGGCACACTAATCAGCAGACCACATTACCAAGCAGCCCTGCCCCACTCTGCGCAAACTCGAAGACCCAACTCCTGCACCCTTTCATTCTTAGTCTCCACCCCTGATGATCGGAGACTCCTCCCTCGCCACGCCCAACACAACCTGATGTTAGCGCTTCGGGAAAGTAAGGGAAAGTAAGAGCATGCGACAATGGCTCAGACCTCCCCCCCCCTCCTCCTTCTCCCAACACTCGTCTTGGCCTTTCGACTCAACCCACGCGTCGCACCCCATGGGGAAGCCTTAAACCCTCACCCTCAACCCTCAACCCAACACTCTAAACCCTAAACCCTAAACCCTGAACCCTGAAACCCCTCTAAACCCTAAACCCTAAATAATTAACCCTGAAGAGCTGAGCGCAACCTCCCAGCCCCGCGGATTCCTCCTCGGTCATGTGTGCGCCCAAGCAGTTCTCGCGCCCCCATCGTACCTGGAGACTGAGTTTGTTTAGGGTTTAGGGTTTGGGGTTTGGGGTTTGGGGTTTAGGGTTTCGGGTTTGGGGTTTGGGGTTTGGGGTTTGGGGTTTAGGGTTTGACTGCACCGAAGCAAGAAGTTCGCACAAGCGCAGCAACGAATGACAGAGCTGGGCCCTAAACCCTAAACCCTGGGCACAGCAGGCTGGAAGTCAGCATCGCTCAAGGGCGTGCCTGCCAGAAATGTTGATGACAAGGTTTAGGGTTTAGGGGTTTAAACCCTGAAGGGTTTGGAGTTTATAGGCTTCCTAAACCCTAAACCCTAAACCCTAAACCCTAAACCCTAAACCCTAAACCCTAAACCCTAAACCCCGAGAACCCACAAGCGAAATTTCTGAACAGCCCGAAAACACCCCAGGTGCACCGTATCACCGGGCCTTCAAAGCAGCTTGGAGGCCTGAAAGAAGCTTTCAGCTCAGTTCATGGGTTTAGGGTTTAGGGTTTAGGGTTTAGGGTCTAGGGTCTAGGCCAGGTTTCGGGGTTAGGGGTTAGGGGGCTTTTGGGGGGCTTCCGCGTTTAGGGTTTGGGGTTTCGGTCTTCGACCCTAAACCCTAAACCGGCTTGGGGTTCAGGCTTAGGGGTTCAGGGGTTTGGGGTTAGGGGGTTTAGGGTTTAGGCTCAGGAGTTTCTGTCTGGATACAAAAACCGCAAGTATTGCGGACCTCATAGATTTCTGGTCTCGGGGGGTGTTTAGGGTTTAGGGTTGGGATGTTCCCCCTTATACTAACAGTCCTTAAAAGGGAATAAAATAGGGGGTACGATAATCCCCATTAAGCACTGTTAGCATAAGGGGGAACATCCCAAGTGCAGGGTGCAGGGTTTAGGGTTTGAGAGCGAGGCACTATGGGGCCTCTGTTGTTTTGGTGTTGCTGTTGCTTGGCTCTCCTTTGTGCTGCACATCTATTCTTGGATGCTGGGCATCCTAGTTATCATGTACTTATAACCCACTTAGAAGCCCCTTAGGTGCCCTCATAAGATGGTTATGTAAGTACATTTCTAGGTACAGCTAGAATGGGTTCATAGATACCATGAACCTTCAAGCAGGGGGCCCCCAGGAGTGGCGTACCCCATATCCCCTTAGAAATACCCTTTAAGGCATAACAGGGTACCTCATTCCCTCATTCCCTACTAACCAACAGCAAGTAAGAAGAAGGGGTACGTTTTATTTGTTATTCTTGCCGTTTCAGTGTCAGGTAAGGCAGCCCCCCAGAAGAAGGGAATCAGGGTACTACTGGGGGAACAAGTCCTCCCTAAACCCAAAAACCCTAAACCCTAAATTGATTCATCTTCCTCATCTTGCCAAGAATCTCCATATCACACTTGCACTGGTCCGCCAAACAGCTTTCTGAAGGAGCGTGGTAGGTCGAAACCTGGAGTGGGCATGAGTGGGTATAAAGCGTAATTACTGGAGTTCCAAGAGCTCCCAATGTGGGTCGTGCAAGGGTGGGGGGTTCCATTGGCGTCTATGTAGCAAACGACAGCAGATTGCTTTAAAATTCTGCCGGCGCGTGCCTGCGTGACAAGAGTCGCGCGACAGACAAAGTGGACAGCGGAAACTTCAGTTTTGTGCAGGCACCTTGTTCAGGTGAAGATGACGTCATTCTAAGGTCCACCTACCACACTCTATTCGTGGCATTGAGTGTCAATCTTTGCATGTGGCCAGCTTGGCATAGGCGTGACCCCTACAAACTGCCATGGCCCAGTGCGGCAAGCCACCAGATTTGCAGGGCATCTTCTCTAAAGTCTCTAAAGCCCCTGACAGGCCCTCTCATCAACAACAAGCTCTTTGCATGCCATAGGACAAGCAACATAGCAACCACGATGTAAGCCATCTAGACAGCTTCCCTCGCAAGTCTAAACCCGAACTAAACCCTAAAGCCTAAAGCCTAAAGCCTAAACCCTAAACCCTAAACCCTAAACCTCAAACCCCAAACCCTAAACCCTAAAGACGCCGAGGGGCATCGCTGGCGCAAGTGCAGCGGGAACCTGTCTGGCTAAGCTCACGTGGGCCCTGAACAAACGGGAGAGAACATCCGTGAAATCTTCAAGGTGACTCAGGGTTTAGGGTTTAATTAGGGTTTAGGGTTTAGGGTTTAGGGTTTAGGGTTTAGGGTTTAGGGGTTGAAAGATTTTTGTACACAGAATGTTGCTGTATAATCTTCGGGCGCAACAAGTTCCGTGACGAGAACAGCACGCACCAGCAGCAGAGTGCTACGAGAAACCACGGCCGCCACGCTCCGAAACAGACTGATTATGGCCAGTCCTACCTGCAAGGTCTCAAAAACTAACCCTGAACAAGGTCTGAAAAACTAAACCCTGAACCTAAACCCAAAATCCTAAATCCTATCAGAAGGAGGCGAATCTTCCGAAGTTAATCGAGGATGAAGGAAGCAGCGATCTTGCACCAATGCACCTAAGACCGCACAGCTCCAGAACTATCCGAACTCTACGGGGCTTCGGAAAACTTAGGGTTTTGGGTTTTGGGGTTAGGGTTTAGGGTTTCTGGTTCAGGGTCTAGGGTTCAGGGTGCAGGATTCTGCCTCTCAACGCGAGATGAAAAACTTCCCGCACAGCCCCAGAGCCTAAACTTCTACCCTGGTTCAGGTCCTCAACGACGAATCCCTAAACCGGCCTTTAAACCCAGGAAGCCCTTTAAAGCCCTGCGCCCCTATAAACTAATCCCCTAGAAACCCCTAGAAGCCCTCTAAATCCTATCCGCAAGCATACGGTCTACTGGACCCAAGAGTAACCTGCGAATTAAACGGCTTGGTTTAAAAGGGGTGATAAGGGAACCTAAGCCCTAAACAAAGGGGGATAAGGGCCAATTCTGTGTCCTACTCTA